CAATATTGTTTGAAATAAATATACAATATATTGTTTCTACATTCTCATACAGGCTTAAAAATGAGGTAATAAAAACTTAACTGATTAAAACTTTCACCATTCTGGAAATATCTTAGGGAAATGACGGTGAAATTTTATTTTCTTAGGTCTTTTTGTGTTTTCTTTGAATACTTCCTTTTTCTATGCTGAAAAATTATGTAAAAAATCCTTGAGCTTTGTTGGATAATCTGTCATCACTCCAGTTGCTCCCAAATCGAAAGCTCTTTTGTACTCTTGTTCTTCATTTAATACCCAAACATACACATATCGGAAAGCCAGATGAGAAACTTTTGACTTCTGGACATGGTGTGTGGTTCCTTTAGCCTCTTTGTAGCACTTTTCTACAATTTCATAACTGGCATTACCCCACACTGTTAAGTGTTCTCGCTTATACTGCTTCACTAATTCTGAAACCTATATGAGAAAATTCAAAATTTTATGCATGTGCCTATTTCTAAATTCACTTGTATCATTTTTACTTTAAAACTGATTGCAAATAATGGATGTACAAAATTTTGAAAAAACCAAATTTCGGATTATTTTAAAAAACACAAAATTGTTTACATTTTACCATTATATAATTTACTTAACAGATACAATTATTTATTAGTATCACGTTAAACACGTTAAGCCAGAAGGTAATTGTATAAATACCAGAATAATTGGCTCATAGGAGTTTACTTTTATTCATGACTGAAATGTGCCAGCTCACTCTGAAAATAGACTCCCCTGCAGTAAAATGACCTCTATCATGATGTTATTTAAAACAATGCTGATCCATGGAGTATCACGTTTCCTTGAACACTACCAACCTAAGCAGTCAGCTACTCTGACCTTATTTAGTTTGTGAAATTGGATGCAACACACCAAGAGGAGGCAATGACTCCAGTACCTTCTTAATCAGCACATTGTTGTTGACTTTGATATCGATGTTAATGGGGGTATTAGGAAAGGCATCAAAAACTTCCTTCAGTAATGGAATTCGGTTATCTTTTCCTTCACACTGGCATGCTCTTTGAAATGGGACGTCCAGTTTACCAAGGTAAGATGGGAGCTCACAATATTTGAGATCAGAGATGTTTACATTGACCCCAGTTGATCTCTTCAGGTTCTCATCATGTGATACTACAACTTGTTCATCTTTTGTGATATGGCAGTCCAATTCCAACATATCAGTTCCAATTGTGACTGCATGCTGAAAGGCTTCCATTGTATTCTCCAAATTTTCTCCAACACCTCCGGGGCCTCTGAACTCCGCTGCTGCGGTCGCAACGGCTGCGGCGGCTGCTCGAGGTCTGAAATAATTTCTGACATAACTAAAACCAAACCTACACCATAACATGTAAATGGTGTTAACTTGCTGATTCAAAGGAAACTTTTTCAAATAGTGCCACTAAGGCAAAACCCATCTCTGTGCTGTATCCAAGAGACACGTCTGAAACTGAGTGAGAAAACTTAAGATCTAACCACTGGCAAGTGCACACGGGCAAAAGCAACAGAAATCAACAGTCAGTGTCTTTCCATCAGGCCAGGTAGATTCTA